AGCAAGAACTTCTATGCATATGCATATTTTTTCTGGTTAACTTTATCGTATGCTTAGAGAGTATACATTTCCTAATACTTATTATCAAATACTCAAAAAATTTTAGTAAACATTTTGATGGGTTATTAAAAAAACTGCTTGTACTTTGGTAAATATTTTTCATAAATTAAGGTCAACAATTATATTAAACTGTGAATTTGTCATAGAGAGACTAATTTTTATCTCAATGTTTAGTAGATATAATAGATTATATTAGATATGTTATTTTTTTATATATATATATAAAATTAAATGAATTAAAATAAATAAAATATTTAAAGAAAAACAATGTAATGTTTTAATGTAATATGAACATATAATTTTCTTCTTTTTTTTTAGAGCATAAACAACTTTTAATAATTTAACCTAATTAATGGTATATTATTGATTTATAACACTAATTGAAATATATTCAAATTTTGTTACGACGCCAAATACTTGTTTTTCTATTGAATACTTAATATTTATTTTTTTTTATGAGTTAAACCATTATGATAAAAAAAAATAAATAAATAACCAACATAACAGAACAATAACTTTGAAAATATTATGTTTCTGAAGAGCAATAAGCAACTATATAATAAATAAATATAAACTAATAGTATATCAACTATGTTACGTTAATGACAAACCTATAAAATAATAATTAAAAGTATTTTAAAGACTTTTTCAAAGTATTTGAAATATTTTAACTTATAAGGAAAAAATATTTGAGTAGTATTTTAAGTACGAGTGAATACTTGAAAAAAAAATATTATTCATAACACTGCACATAGTATAATATAAGTAAATAAAGTTTATATTAATTATATTAATACAATTTATCAAAATTATCGACCATTATAAGAAACTAATATTGTATAGTGTAAAATAATATAATACTAGGGTGACATTTTAGTAATTCTGAGATTATTGCTACACTATACATTTTAACATTTACTAGTATATACAATGTAATTAAATAATGATTCAACATATACCAATTATTTTGATAAATGTCAATATTTATTAGACTACATTCAACAACATAACTACAATTATACCCATGTAAAATATTACTACTTTAAAATGTTTATAACTTGCTTTAAAATTATAATATTAATAATAAGATATCATAAAAAGTATTCATGTCTTTAAATTTTTAAAACACGTAAATAACACTAAAGGTAATAACATAAATTGGATTACCTATATTAAACACAAATTTGTAAACATTTTATATTAATAACACATAGACAACAGATACAAATGAGATGTCCTTTTTAAGTTTATTCAACAAGGATTTATTTTATAATAAATACTAATATCAATGTAATATTTTAATTTACCTTTAAAAACTTGTTGAAATTTCTTATCATTTTCATTATTCTCTGAATTTCTCTCATTTCTTACACTTGTTACGGGACTATCTGGTAAACGTTGTACTCCGCTGACATTAAGGCTATCATTTGATACAATTGAAACATCATTCAAACTATTGTTGACACCCATAAAGGAGTAAAATTCTTTTTGCGCCTCCATCATTGTTTTAATCATCTTTGGAGTAGAAATAAAGACTCTTTTAGGTTTTATTACTGGAGTATCTATAAAAATATCTTCATATGGAAGTTTTCTTTTCTTTGATACAGGTGTCTTCTTAACCGATTTGCTTTTAACCTCTACATTACTAATGCACTCATCAGGCGGTATAAGTTCACCAAACAAGTCTCTGTAACCTTCCATTGATGTTTGGGAATCTTTGTTTAGTTCAGAGTTTATACACAAATCTAGATTACAATCGAAAGATATTTCATCCGAATTGTCATGTAGTTTTCTTTTTTTATTGACACTTGCCCGTTTATTTTTCAAAGACATATTTTGTACACGACTATATTTTAGCTAAATTATAATATTAATTAAATCAAGTCACGTTTGGTACTGTAGCACAGATAAATTTTACTCAGAATTAAGAAAAGAAAATTTATATTTTTTAATCGTAATGTTTATAAACGTATGTTACGAATCAATGTCTTTGATCTGTGAAGAATGAATTAACGAACAATAATAATGATAAATTATGATAGTTCCCGCCACAACATCAACGTATATTTCCCATTCATAATTTCTTGATAAGGAAGTAATCGCAATACTAAGCAAATTATTATTCTATTAATTTTAGGCGTGTTGTAAGTTGTTACGTCTTGTAGTTGTGTTGTAAACGCGTCGTTTCATAATCAGCTTATAGACATCTTCAAACATACGTTATCAGTTATCGCCAAAACATATTATCATAAACACAAACGTCTCTGCCGAAAAAATGTTTTCGTCTGATTTGTATTACTATAGCAACGCCAGTAGTAGTTACTGGTTATACTTGTTTTATATTTTTTATCTATATAATTTACTCAATGGATCTATTTGTGTAATGTACTGAAGTCTTTGTTTTCTATACAGTCTTTGTAAAACTATTCTGTATTAGCAGCACTCTAATAATATTAATAATAATGTGATTTAACAATATTAAAAATGAATTAATTATCAAAATGTTTACATGCGAAATTGATGATTCTGACTATAATTTTGTGTAACAGTATAATACTGAACTCATAATACTTTTGGTTATTCTTGAATAAATATTGACAACAATTATGTGTATTTGTTCACCTTTATATACCGATGACATTAAATTAAATGTAGTTTCAAAAACATACACACATGCTAATATCAGTTATAAATTTATCAGAATTCATAAACCGCATTCACTTGCTTAAAATCTATAAATATTTCATGTATAAAGTAATATTTAAATAGTTGTGAAACATAAAGAATTTAGGTTATACAAATTAAAGCTTATTTATTTTAATTGTATAGATAATAAATATTTGAAATTTTTGAAATTGTCAAAAAAATGTGAAAGTATAATTTTAAATTGTTTAAAAGTAGGGATTGTCAAACAATGATATAATACTAATATTTAAGAACTCAGTTGAATTTTTAATGACTCCCTAATTTGTGTATTTTTAATTGAAGATAATGTTAAATGAATGTTGACCAGGTACTTTTTATTTCTAATAAAATCTTGCTTATGGTTAAATTTTTTTTCTTCGCAAATTGTAAGTCAGGTTTTTTTTAAATCTATTTCTTTTTCTAATTTTACTAATATATTATCATTTATCACAATGTTTAATCATATACATTTAATCTACATCATTTATATTAGCTCGACTATGCATAACAAATATCATTTCTAATTTATGTTTAGTTTCTTTATTGTTTTCCTTTACATTATTATTTTGCAGTCTTTTAGGTTTTCATAAAAATCCATTATCAACATTTAATTCACAATGAGTAATGGAAAAAACAGGCTTTCATTTTGTATTGTTTCTGTTAGAATCTATTATTTAGCACATACCTATGTGGATATTTTTACAAATGATAAAATAAATAATTGTATTCATCTAAGTACATTTATAAATATGTTTAATCCTAAGGTTCTTTTATTGAAACCGAATACAGAATTATACTTTAATCCACAAACTTTGCATCTAAACATATATTTTTTTTTTTTTATACTGCCTATGGAATTTTTATTTAAACGACCAAAGGTATTTATAAATACAATACATTGGGGGTGAGTACAATGATTATTTATAAGTAACATTTAAAATATTATCTAAACATATGAATAACTAATTAATTTTTATTAAAATAAAAATCTATGAAATTCACTTGTGTATACTCTTAGATTTTAACTTGATAATAGGTAAATTCACTGTAATATATCAGAGTTGAATGAATAATTCAGATCAAACAATTTGCTATGCTATGCATTTGAAAGACTGTGACACTGCATACAAGTGTACTGTGAAGTATACTTACTACTTACTACCTACTCTTAAAACAAAATGTTAAACGGCAAAATCGTATTATATTATATCATATTGTTTTTAATATTATTATAGTGCTGAAACATAGAATAGTATAACAGAAGAATGTATAAATAACATCTAGTGTCTTGTAAGAATCTAATATCTACACATTATGAACATATTTTAGCCTATAAATACATAGTATGGGTATTTTATAAACGTTAAATTAACTGGCAATACCAAATACTCGATAAATATCGCAGATAATAAAACCCATTTAAAATAATTCACAAACAACAATGCACTTTCTTCTAAAAATTTTATCGATTTTTACTATTAAGAAGCGTGTTGTGTATAAAACTACCAAACCCATTGAAATTAAACACAAAAAATACGTCCATAATCTTAAATATTAAATGGCACACATTTTTCTATTATTATTATTATTGAAAAAAAGGTTTTTGCCTTCATATCCAAACCCTAATTTTGATATATCAAAGAATTCAAACTTAAGACATCCAGAATAATGATCCATTTAACATCTAATGTACAACAAAATGGTACCCAATTTCCTACATTTTTTTGTTTATTACTAAATTAGCCTATTATATTATCCAAGAAATATGATTAAAATGAGTGATTTTTAGTTATAATGTATGGTCTTAAATATTAATTGAACATCTTCAACCACCTAGCTATATGTATCGTACCTATCATAAATGTTTTAATTTATGATTTAAGATTTTGTTTACTCGCATGGTTAAGTATAAAATAATATTAATGCAAAAGTTTAGTATGTTTATTTTTTTTTAAATACAAAAAATTAAAATCTGGAGACGTTACTTCATGGCTACCCTGGAGGTATCCATTACAAATTTTGAGCAATGCAACAGCTAACAATTCACCATAAGTTTGTAGAACGCTAAAATACTTATAATTTATTATTATTTCTTATTACGCCATTACGCGGCATTTACATCGCTTCATCATATTATTTACACTATTACTATCACTTTGTCCGGTCCGTCGTATCAGTCGCTACGGGAAAACGTATGACCACCACGGATGTAGATATGATATCGTCTCTATAGCCATGATGACCACTAACCGAAACGAGATAACGACCACCTACACGGCTGCACGGAGAGCACGATAATCACGGCAATCGTGAATCGTTACTCGTTAGTCGTCATTCGTTAGGTACTTTTGCGTTGTGCTGTAATAATTTTTTTCATCTCCAATAAAACACAAATTACGCATCAACCAGATAGGTGATAGCTCTGTAAATAAATCGTCCATATTGTCTTTTCGCTCCTTTCATCGTTATACCTACCTATTATGGACATGGAAAACGTCAAACAGATATTTAGAGATGCTGGCACCGCGATCAGCAGAGCCGTACAAGTAAATAATAATAGTAATAATAATAGTTATAACAATATTATTGATCTTTCGGACATCGTGCATAATACACATACATGTTTGTAATTTGTTATACATACGAAAAATATTTTATGATTTAATTTGTATGTTTGGCAGTTAACAGCTGCTGTACCATCACTCAATGATTAAACTAGTTGTTAAAATATAGTTTTAGAATCTAAAATCTAAATTAATAATTTAGGAAATGTTTTGTTAACATATGGTACTATAATTTACTTAAGGATTTATAATTTTTTTTTCGAAATTTCCATTCTCATATTTTTAAACTAAGTATTACGAATCTTCAACAAAATTAAAATTATTTTAACATGTTAACAAATTAAACAATATATAGTAATAGGAAGTAGCAGTATATAGTAATTTTCTAACATTAAATATTTAAAATATTTGGAATTTAGAATCACAATATTTTTGTTTATAAGTAAATCAATAGTTTTGCGTTTTTTTTTCATTTTTATACAAGTATGTAATCAGACATATTTAATTTATAAGTTTCAATTCATTCAAGATTATTAAATAAAACATAAGCTGTATAATTTTAATAAGTATATCAGACTATGATGTTGTATGCAATCTACTAAATTAGTTTTTAAGCAATTTCTATAAACCTAATTAATTTTATCTTAAAAGTAGAACAATTATAAAAGTATCATACATGTTTAGCAATTGAATTTAAAAATATATAGGTATAATTGTATGTTTATTAATTTTGAGATTACTAAAAGATCAGAACGACATCATAACCATAAATTATTGCTCTATGATAACCTAGATACTTAATACATGTTTAAGTACTTTAAAAAAAACTTGTAATACAGTATTTTTATTAATATCTCAGTAGTCGTTGGATACATTTAAATAATAATTGTGTTTTTTTACTTAGAATATATTATTATATCTGATTTAAGTATACCTATTTAATTACGATTTTAAGTTGGTATTTTCAAACTATTAAAGTTATGACAAAATTATGATTAGTAATTAATAATAATGATATAAGATAATTAAAACATAATCTCTAGGTTCTGTAACTACTCATTCAATTTTCAATTTTATTTTATAATATATTAGATATTTTATAAATTTGTCTTCTCAATAATTAAAATTCTATGATAATATTTAGGCTTTATAAAAATTGTTTGTTTTAAATAATGATTTATGTTAATGTTATTATATATGTTAAAATTATTTGTACTTCAATGAAGGGCTACTATAAAACATAAGGTTACTAGCATCTGTTTACTTTACTTCTGTTTCAATATAGTTCAAACAATTATTTATTTTTATAACAATTATAATTTATTAATTTATATTTTATATTTTGAAGAATAAGAGACAATTATTCAATTTAAATTGTTTTATTTTAAATCATAACATTAAAGTTACTTACTATTTATTTTAATTCTATATAAGTCTAAAAGAAAAGCTTAATATTTTTACAAATAAGTTTAAAAATAATGTTACTTTCTAATTTAATAAGTAATTAATGTATAAAATAATCCAATTAATTGTTGAACTTCAAAATTCACTATAATAATAAGTATTATTTAAATGTTATCTTAAGTTTTTTATTGTTGTATTTTATTTACATAATAATATTCTCAAAACATAAATTAATTTTAAGTTATTGGCCATTTATATTACAAACATATTCAAACCATTCTACAGTTAGGAAGATTGACTAAAAAAGTAATAGCAGTAATATAATATAATATCAATATATACTATTATAATAATTAAATATTAATAATTTATTAATAAATGGGATATTTTTGACAAAAAAGTAAATCAATCTACCATAATATAAATAGTAAAATTAATTAATTTAATAGCAATATCAAAAAACATTTGAAATATATTTATTGAAATAAACTAACAGACTGTTTCCACTCAGAATAAATTATCTTATGTAATGATTTATCAGTGAATTAAAATTTAACAAATCCATTGTATTGACTTACTTAATGACAAGTTACACTTAAATACTTTAACACTTTAATACTTGTCGTACAATCGTATAGTTACTTGTTTACTTATTTAATTTTAAATTTTTTTAAATTAACATCTTTTAATTTTATTACGTTGATCCCTCAATAGTTTAATTATTTTATTTTTTAAAATACCTAACATAATTTTTTTGGGAATAGGACATTTTTTACTACTTTTCAATGGGAAAACCTCTGAATAATGGGCACCTATTTTAGCTTAATTTTAAAATAATGAAAAAAACAAAAACAGTAAAATGTGCTCAAACTAGTATAATAACTCTCACAAAAACCAATCTTTACATCAAATTGAATTATATTTATTTATATATATATATATATATATATATTATATTTATTTAAATATGCATTGTTAAAATATTAAAATTATCATAACATTAAATAATAGTATTATAATTTTATTTAACGTAACACATATGTTTTTTTCTTTTACACATTTATCTTTTATACATTTTTAAAATGTACCATTACTGAATAGAGAAAGGAATTGTTGGTAACCAAGAGTGTCCGTTATTCAGAAGGTTCGTGGTACATAGCAAATAGATGATATGGTTTAATTCATTTTTATGTATTATGTTTCAATTAAGTATATTAAATATAATTTTGTTTATATTATTTTTGTTATTATTTGCTTTTTTTTTTGACGTAAAACAAATAAACTGGTACTTAAAGATAATACATTTTATAAATATATATTGAAGTTAGAACTTAGGTTTTATATTAAACTTCGTTTGAAATCTAATTTTATAACATACAATAAATATCCAGATTATTGTTTATAATTATTAATACTTTAAAAAAATGTGTTTTGTAGTTTACAGAAGAAAAATTGGGTAAAGCAGAGAAAACAGAACAAGATCCAAATTTTGAACAACTCGTTACTTTTTGTGATAACACTAAACAGAACACTGAAACTATATTGAAGAATATGGAATTTATTTTGAATTCTAATCCTGGTAGGTTTTTCTTTAATTTTGAATTATAATTAATTATACTTTTGGTACTACAAATTTTATATTTTTTTTTAGGTATGAGAGTGGAAAATCTTTTTTTCTTAGACAAGAAAAAATCTGGACTCAGCAGCTCTGAATATTTGGGAATTGCCATGACAGAAGCTGGGAATGACTTTGGTCCAGATACTGCTTATGGTAAAGTATTTTTTTTTAATTAAAAAAATGTGTTCTCTACATTTAATTTACTTTAGGCAGTGCACTTATAAAAGTTGGAAATATACAGCAAACATTGGGACTCAACCAAAGAGAATTTATCAAATCAGCCAACGATTGTTTTGTGAATCCTATGAATAAATATTTAGAGACTGACATGAAGACTGTTGTCAAGGAACGTTCACTTTTGGAAAAAAGAAGGCAAATTCACATAATTAATAATTGTTACGTTTGAATGCCTGTTAAGTTGACTAATTATTATATAATATATAGACTTGACTTAGATGCTTGCAAAACTCGAGTGCGCAAGACCAGAATGCTTGCAACAACTAAAGTTAAGGTATATAATATTATCAATTTATATTTTTATTAAATATGGTTAAATGGATATTTATATATTTTTATGCAGCAGGATGACTCTGGTCCTACTATGGAAGAGTTAATAGATAAGGTAAAACTAGGAAATAACTTACTGGAATGTGTTAATTAATAAAGTTATTATGTTTGCTATGTAGTTATGTTGATGTTATTCACTCACAATAATTTTAGTTTTTTTCTGATTTATAATGTTATCATTTTCTTAGGCTGAACATGATCTCAAGGTAGCTCAAGAAGAGTATGATCGTCAGGCAGAAATTACCAAGCTATTGATGGAAGGTGTTCCCAGTGCTCACCCTCAACATTTACAGCACTTATTAGACTTTGTCGATACACAGGCAGCTTTTTATTTAAAATGTCATGAGTCTTTGATGAGTCTTCAATCAGATCTTTCTGGGCAAGTTAAAAAAATAATTTAAATGATACACAATTTATTCAGCTTAAATAATAAACTCTATCTACTCTAAGCAAGTTATAGATAATTTTTAAAGTATTTAAAAAAAAAAAAAAAAAATAGATAAGTTCTTAAATAATTTTAACTAGTTATACTATATTAAATATTAAAACTGAAATATGTTTTTAACATACTAATCCTTATAAATTTTAGTGTTTGATTATTACTAAATATAAATAAATATGTAATATATTATGTTTCATGATTATAAAAGCCTTTTTTAATTTTTAGATTTCCATCTGACCAAGACAATATTGCAACATTATCGCCAGATACTCCAGCTTTAGGGCGTATACAGCAAGCAAAAGTTATTACTAGTCAAGAACCACGAGATGCCCATGATTTAAGATTAAGTGCAGGAGAAGTAAGTTACCTGAGCCTGTAAATACTAAACATTGGTATTCTTTATTTAGCCGTGTAGTGTCAATAGTAATAGTTAATAGTTTAGTTGATTTACAATAACACAAAAATGTTATCAACTTCATTACTTAATTATATATTTACTCTTACAATTGAAAGTATATATGTATAATTGTTTTTTTTTCTTTAACAGATCATTAGTATTGATGTAAATTCCGACATCGGTTCAAACTATTTTATTGGTAAAAAAATTCAAAAAGGCAAGGTTTATAAAAGCAATGTTAGACTTTTAAACCAAGGTTAAATTGCTTCTGTATCACTTCATTTACATTCCCTATAGAATAATTTTTTATTATGTTTAATTTTCTTTCTATATCTTTCCAAATGTTTCATCTACGTACTCTTTCTTATTAATTAAACTTTAATTGTTTTACTTAAAACAGCACGATCTGATTCTAGCATGTTAGGAACATTATTTTATTATTAAATTAGTATTTTACTAATATAGGCTTTTGATTTGTTCAATTTTATTATTTGTGTGTTAATGAACATATGTGAATTAAATCAATTGATCTGATGTTTGTTATAAATTATTGTAAGTGTATTTGTTTATATTATACCATTTTATTTGAAAAAAAAACTACTATCTATTTTTATTTTAGCAATTAATATTCCATTATATATTAACTGTAATTATCACATAACTGTTAACTCAACACTTAAATTTATAATGTACAATAATAATATTCTTATCATTACTATTTTTTCAGAATACCAAAAATTACAAAATGTAACAAAATATTACCTATAATAAAAAAATGAATAACAGAGAGTTATAATTTACTATTATAGGTAACTTATATTTCTATAAAATTGCTTAAAATTTAAGTTTTAAAGAGTTATAAGTTATAACAGTATCTCATATCATGTTTAATCTAAAATTAAAATTTTATGATAATTTTTTCAATTAAATATCAAAATTACTTACAGATTTATGTATTAACTAATAGTTACATTTTTTTGTTTTGCTATATTATATATATATATATATAAATCCATGCCAAATTGTAGGTTTGATGAATCTTCAATATGTTTAAATTTATTAATTATTTACATTTATATCCACAAACTAAATAATATATTATATTAAACGAGTGCGTGTATTTAATGAAAATTTAAATGATTTATTTGGACAAAAGTGTTAGTATAAAATTACTAGTTAATTATTGGCCTTAAATTTATGATATTATAAATGTCACCAAAGAACTAATTTTAAGTGTTTAATTGAACAAAATTGTGTGAGTGTATACAGTTGCAATGAACAAATGTAGTTTTTATTATTATTCGTAAGTTAACAAAACTTTTTCAACTTTACAATCTTGTTATTTTAATTATATTTCTATGAGAAATTAATTGTTTTTAATTATTACAATTTAGCCAAATTAAATGTATGTAAAATTCAATTTGGAAAATTAGTATTATTTATTTTGTTGCTATGTATCCTTCCAAATTCTTTTAAACTCATATTTTACTTATGTCAAACTTGAAAAGTTTTTTCAGTTACCTTGTGAAAATGAAGCAATTATCTCATGATAAAATTAAATCATGTGTATGAATTTAAACGAGTATCCATTATAGCATAATGGAACATAACAAGGTTAATATTTCTTTTTTATATGATATAAAATTAAAATTGATAAAATAACATTTAAAAGTTTTTTTTTTTTTTTTGAACTTAAGCCCGGCAACTAGGGCCATTAGCTGTTTGTAAGGGTTACGTTGTAGGTTGGTACGGTAGGTTGTATTTTTTATGATTGTTACGGTTGATAGCAAACACGTGTATGTGTGGCAAGGTTTTTAACCACTATGATCCCGAGTGGTCACCCATCCGGGAGCTAGTAGCTGTGGCCGTTACTTACTCTCAGTCGCATTCCGCGACTGGTAGCAGCCAACGCGCCACGCCAAGCCACAACATTTAAAAGTGTTCATTACACATACCATCATAAGTTTTTTATACTATATACTAACCAAACAGTATTTTTTCATAGATAGTACATATTTGTATGATATTGATGAACATTGATTTTATATTGCTTATTTTTTTTTCCTTTAAAACTTTTAATTAATTAAATTTTAATTTTTTAATTTTTAATCATGATGAATTACTAAATAAATAAATAATATTATAGTTTTTAAATATCTAAAAACTTTTATTTTCCTAAAATAAACAATTTTTTTTTTAAGTTTGACATGTAAAAACTGAAATTAGAACAAATAACTACAATTACTTAATTTTTTGTGTATTTGGGAATAATAGTCACAAATAATAAGTCTATAAGATTTGAAAGTTATTATAATTTGGACATTTTTGAATTTATGTAAATTTATTTAAAGTTCTATAATTTGAGAAAAAAAATGTTTGGAAATGTTAAGAGACAAAATATTATATCTATTTCATATTTTATTTAAAATTATAAACTATTATCCTCGGTACTTAAATTGTAATAATTCAGAAACTACTAGAATTTCAATTTCAACATTAAAAAAAAAAAATCTCTAACTAAAAAGTTGCAGTAAAATATTAATAGTTCTTTTTAAATATAGGAATTTGTATTGTCTCAGAATACTACTTAAATTATATTTTAAAAATATCTGAATATCTGTAAATAGTAAGGTATTTAATATACCCAAAAATGTCATAAATAAATAATAATTTTATTAATTTTATTATTAAAGGTTAGAAAGAAGAATGCATGCTTGGCATCTCTTATGTAGGCTAGATTTGATTGTTAATTAATATATTTCATGAAAAGTCACAAGCATAAATAATATAAATGATACAATGATATTAAACTATTTGACTTTCAGACTATTCTTTTAAACAAAAATGTATTAAATAAATTAAAATAATATTCTATTTCAAATAAGTGTCTGATGAAACTTGTGTAGCTGAATGGTGGAATGCTATAATTGGCCACAGTGGTCGACATGTATCATGATATTTGCAAAACTTATTTAAAGAGAGTATAAATATTTTCTTAGTTTCATACAAGATATATCATAAACACCATAATAATTTGTAGTATTTTATAAATTCTATACATTTTATTATCAATTTCTTATTATTATGAAAAATTTTACCAACAGATTTTTATCAACAATTGTTCTTTAATATGATAAATCATTTGATTTAATACTAATATATGGAAGCTATATTCAATGGTTTGTCCTTCTTTAACCAATATATAACATAACAATTATCATTCAGCAGAATCCATTTTATATTGTTAAATTTGATATTAGAATCAATTGCCCATAATAAAATTCAAAGATAAGGATTTAAAGCATCTAATAGATTTTAATGGGATTTTCACTTTAAAATAAATTACACCCATACAAGATATTAAAACTTTAAAATTATAACATAAATAAAATCCCATAAAAAGCCTTAGATAATGTTCTTAACTTTTAACTTTTTAATAACAGATATGTAGGTTGATTCAAATACTAAAATTTATAGCATAAGATAGATTCTACAGAATTAATTTGCCTTACAATACACATATAGTTAAAGACAACACACATTGTATCCTTTTAATTATTATACATTCTTTAAGCCAATTTATAAATACTAATATTTTATCACAAAACAATTAATATTTTTTATTAATCATTCTTAATGAATTATATATGAACAGTTATAAAATGTAAGGAATCACATTTAATAAGATAAACAAAATTGATTTAAAAATAAACTTAATTTCTAACATTTTAAACAATAACATTGTGGTCAATAAACTCCTTCAATTTATACATTGCCTTCATCCTATGAGATATTAAATTTTTTTGTTCCTTGAGCATTTCTGCATAAGTTATCTCATATCCATCAGGCTTAAAACATGAGTCCCATCCAAAAGTCTCGATTGCAGTTGGTTCTACAATTGTACCATTAGTTTCACCACTAAAAATGTTCACTTCACCCTGTTCATTAACATAAGCAACTGTACATACAGCCATAGCGGATTTATCTTCAAATCCTTTGAGCATACGATATAAACCTAAAGGACCCGTTGCTTTAAGAAACCACTTGACATATGGACCTAGAAAAATAATATGATAAATATCACATGTACAAAATCTAATTAATTATCAGAAAAATTGTCTTGACCTAAAGATTATTTAAAAATTATTTTTTTAATACGTTTTTTTATAATATCTAAGTATGGTTTTGTACACAAAAATAAATCAAATGTTAACTATCTCATAGCTACTTTTCAAATTATACATAACATTATATAATACTTTGTAAATAAAAATTACAATTAAGTTGTAAATAAGAGTACATTTATTTTTATTACACAATAGTAATTAAAAAAATGTAACCAAAATTCTTATCATTTTTTAGGAATAACTAATAATTTAAAAGGAATTAATATTTTTTTCAGACTGTTTTAATATCTTAATCAATTAAAAACAATTAGAAAATTAATACTAAATATTTTAAAAATGTTAAATTAACAATGATCTATTACGTAAATACAATCATACTGCTCCTTAAATATTTAAAAGTTTATATTATGAAAATAATATTCAAATTTCAAAGTTGAAATTTAATAAAATATTTACTAAATTGTTGTTGGAGGCATACTTCGATACAATGAAATTAATTAATTTATCATCAAGACAAGCTTGTTAATGCAAGTAATCAATTTACCTGGTAGTCCGCCAATAGCATTAAAGCACAGACTAGTATCTTCTACAATACATGGACCTTTTATAATATCAAATGCAGCCAGCGCTTTCATTTTACATATTTCATCCCGTTCTCCTTGATGTTCAGGTAAGTCAATGTTCCTGTTGGACAACTATAATAAAATACATAATCAGTAACAAATGAAGGAACAAATGTGTTATAACTCACGTCAAAAGGAACTGAATCTTTGTAAAATTTCTTAAACATTTGCATCACTTCTTCCAGCTTTTTCACATTGCCAGTCACAAATACAATGTTCTTTTTCGACATTTCGAACGATGATGATGAAATCTAATAGATTTCTGTCGCTAAAACGATTAATGGGAATGTATACTAATTTCGTAAACTCGACGACTTCAAAACAACGTGAATAATTAAAAAGCGATTTCTAGTGTCTCAAGTGTCTGCCGTCTAGCGACTTCTCAAAATTAGTAACCGTTATCAATTTATCATTAAAGTTGAGCGGTTTCGTGATAGTAAGCTACCGCTGTAAATTCTTTACTAAAACAAAACGTTTCACAATCGTAAATTGAATGGGTGAAAACGTTTCGTCAATGATGAATTTAATAAATAATTTCGTTGTACTGTAGTTGTAGTGTTAACGAAAGAATCAATAATTTAATCAATCACAATAATTACATAATCATTCGTCTTTGTCATACATTAGTCCGTGAAATTCATTATATAGTTTTAATTAGGTACCTACTTAGATGTTCGAGATGTATATTCCATATCTATTTAATATCAATTATTATTTATCAATGTTTGAATGT